TACTAATTTGTAAATGTACTAAGAAGGCAGTATCTGCATTCAGAATTATGCCAGAGTCTTCTGTGGGTCTCAGCACGTACTATTGGGCAATAGCAAGTGTGTTGTTTGGTTTCCCCTTTGTAACAAGATTTGGGTAAAAAACAACTGTGAATATGATTATCAAGGAGGGTTTTTTTGTGAAATTCTTTAAGAACATTAGGCACTTTTTATTGGAAAACGCTAACAGATAGCAGGCAGATGACCTGAGATTTTACCTGTCAGTTAGTTTAGTGAAGAGCAAATGTTGGAGCATCAGATCTAAAGGGAAAGTTCCAGACTTTGAGACAGCGATCTCTGCTTGGTTTGGTGGGTGAAAAGAGGGTCCAGAGATCTTCAGGGGCTCTTTCACATCTTTCCTTATTGTTCTGGAAAAAAGAGAAGAAGAAACAATGCATCATGGGAGTGACGCACCCCTGTGAGTAATGCTCACAAGGGAGGTGGTTCACTGCCAAAACGGTATGACTGGTGTAGCCAACTTAGAGGAAGAACAGCATTGTACTGAGAGCATCAGTGATCAATTATTTATTGTCAAAAGAAAATAGAGAAGCTGGCCCACATTATCAAGCTACAGCATATATTCCCTAAAAGAAACCATTGCAGAAGTATGGACAGCTAGTACGCAAGGATTGCAGAACTCAGGTAATAGTCTAAATAATATCTAATAGCATGGGTAGCTAATAGCATCTAATAAATGTTACCCAAGGTTTTGAAAAACACATGTGGAAAGGGCACCTTGATGCTTGGCCTAGGATTTCTATAACTGAAATGAATTATATTGTGTTACTCCCAAGTTTGCAAGTAATGCAGTCTCTGCATTGTCACCTCTGCTGCCAGTGGTAGGCAGAACAGGAGGCAGGAGAAGTGCATCTGGTCAAAAGTGACACCGTGGATTGAGGTTGTGAGTGAGGGAGAAAGAGAAGGAGAAAGAGAGAGATCATGTGTTCAACAAAGTACCTGTTCTGGTCTACAAAACGTTCTCCAATGTTACAAGACACTCACTTCCTACTATGTGGCCACATGTAGGTTCACCTTGGCGTGGGGAAGCATCAGAAGCCTGACTTGACTCTGTAGTGCTACAAACCATTGCTATCTGGGTCCCTATTACACAGCTCATCAGATATTCTTTGCTGACTGGAGAACTGCTGCACTTGGGGGAGTATCTGCTGTGGAACCTGCATGCAAAGCTTCATACCCAGGAGGTCTTCCTTTCATCAATCCTGAGTCTTTCCCATTAGAGTGCTGTGTTTTTGCTATGCAGTGCACATGGACAACAAAGGCTCATCTGTTTTCTTCACAACTACCTGGCTTGTTTTGGAGTGTTTGCATTGTATAGATCTCTCTTCTGCTCCTTCTTTCCCTTTAAACAGGTATTAGCTCTTCAGTACTTGCAGCAGAAGATAAGGGACTTACTACAAAGATGTATTTTGTATACCTTATGTATGCTAGAAAAATTTGTAAGGAATTTAGAGGTAGCTTGCATTAGAATTATAGTAATTGGCTTTCTAAACATTAGCATATAAAAATATGCCGAATTATGTTCATGGAGTAAAACAAAATCTATTGTAGTCTTGAAAACCTCTGAGACCAACTACAGCTAACTGCAAATGAAGTCTAAATAAGAACGTGCGAAGGAACACACTGAAAAGCCTGACAATTAGTGGCCTTAAAAACTGTTGGTATGAAAATTCACCCGCAGCACCTCCACAGTAAGGCAAGTGTATGATTCTCTTGCCTTCTTTTCTCCTGTCCTAAACTGTTCCTTGTCAGCAGTCTTCTGTGCTTTAGGCTATAGCAGCGGCTGAAAAGGTCGTGTTAATTTTCACCATTGCATGGATATAAGGTGGTCAGTAATTCGAAGAAAAAATACTGTCTTTATTACTTGTGCTGTCAGATTAGATGCAGGAAGTGTCTGATCTTTAAGCTGTTGCATGATAGAGTTTATAAATTGGTAGAAATCTGAAGACAGAATGAATAGGTCAGTGAGTGTAGTTTTAAAACCTGCTGTCATGTTGGATTTGCAGAACCTGGAAGACTTCTGGTAATAAACAAGCTTATGATGATTTGATAACTATTGCTGTCTTTCATAAGGAAAGCCTTTCCAGGCTTCATACCACCGGTGGAAATACATTTTCAAAAGCCCTTTATAAATATTTAGTCTGTTAATCTTCAGGATGATTTTAAATGCCACCTACGAGTACAATTTAACTTATTGCATTTTCTTTTCATTTACAGACATTACCCTAACAAGATAGATCTCACAGTCAGTATTGTGTTTTCCTCATTATCTCAGCTTTCAGAGATCTCATGCCTGGAACTTCATTACTCTGTCTGATACTGTGAATCTTTATGTAGTTACTTAGGTCTTTCTTTCACACTTAGGTTTCCCAGCAAACAGTGTTTCCCTGACTTCTTGACAAATAAGTGTCCCTTGACATTTAATTTGGCTGATGAGGTGACACAATTTTAGGCGTAAATTATATGTCCTATGTCAGCCCTCACCCCATCGAGGTATCTTCATGGGAGACCATGTGTAGGCAGTCATATCAGCCTTTGCTCCACATATCCAGATAGAGAAGGTAGTTTCATTTATGCAGAGGTCCCCTGGAGGAGTCTGAACAACTGGGCTTTCTGAGAGCATGTCTTGAATTAGTGCCTCTTCTGGTAATGCTGCCTGAACTCCTTCACAGGCAAGACTGCTCACTGGCCTTGCTGTGTCAGACTCTTAAGTAGACTCATCCCATGGCAGGGTGGGACCTTCATGTGGAAGATGACAGAGCTGACGTCCTTGGCCGTCTGTCCTTTTGTTCCTGGTGGGCTTTGGCCTCCTGAGTGTGAGGTGTGGCTGAATGGGGTTAGGTGCCTCCTTTAAAGTGTTATATGCAATTCTGGCTTATTCTACCTGTAGGTATTTTGTTAAGCTAGGCCCCCAAATCTTTTGGAAATTATAGAGTGTGTTCTATGTTTCATTTCATGAGAAGAATAATCAGGAAATATTAGAGAATTAATCAGAAGGGAAACTGCCATACCGTGTATGACTGTGGACGTGGTATAGGAAATAAAAGAGAAAATTACTGCCTTCCTACAATTCAAATTCCTTATCAAGGTGGATTAAATGTGGACTAATAATATATTTCTGGGAAAATGCTATTTTGGGAAAAACAGAACAAAGAAACGAATATCATCTGAACAGTGAGAAGAACAAAAGAAAAAAGCCCTATAAAATTAGATTTTGTCAGTTTCCAAATGAAACATTTCAATTTTCCATTTCTAAATCACATTTCAAGACCAAATTCAGTAGAAGGTAGAACAAAATGTTTATCTGCTGTTTGAATAAATTGTTACTTCAGCCCCGTGTGACAGGCTTTCCTTTTTTCATCTGGCCAACCAAAATTATTTTTTCCCTTGTTTTATGTGTGTGATTTACTACTTAAACTGAGAAGGTAATTATTTCTCATGTTCTTCCTCTCACTGAGTTCCAGGCATAGGACTGGATGCAGAGTATGGGAAAGGGAATGGTTTGGAAAGAAAATAGAAGAGTTTTATCCTCAAATGAAGTAGCTTTTATTTTGTGTGATTGACCAGGGTTATAGCATAGTTTTGCTCCTATGAGTTTTCAGCTGGATTATGGGTGAGATTTAAATAATATGTTACTGAGCTTTAGGATGTAATGGCTTGTCTAAAAATAGGTTTGGATTATTAAGATTAATGTAATCTTTGTAGCTTTTGTTATTATTTAGGATGCAAGACATTCAGTCTTTAGTGCTAGACTTGATGACATTTTCATATCCACTTCCAAGAAAAAGAAATGCTAAAAGGATAATTTAAGCATCTGTTAAAATCCAACAGACAACATTTTAAAACTGAACACATACAAACAACTCCACAGAGCAAAGGATAAAACTTTTAAATTAAAATTGTACTATGAGGGAAAATTTCTGTCTCAATTATTGTGTGTGCTTAGTTGAAACCTACATGAATTTCAGCTGGTTGGTTGTTCACGTTCAGCTCACTGCACACCCTAAAGACTGCATGACACATTTTATTTATGCTGATCATCAGCATCCCTGTTGCACAAGCCTATTTTCTGACAGTTTCAAAAGGGAATTATAATTGTTTACCCTTAAGCATGACAGTAATATAGTATCATTGAAAACAAAAATGTGTCACTTATTCATTGAATGATTTGTATTTGATAAAAGGACGTTTTTTTCCTTTGGTGTTATCTTTTAGCTTCTGTGAATTTCCTAAGCCCTAGACCAAGCTTTGAACCTTATTGATCATGTCACCAGCATTCACAGAAGAAAAATACCAGTTACTGACATGAGTTACAATTATGTAGTTTACAGTGGTAGAAGGGACATTACTTTTATAGTTACAAAGTTTCATCTGATAATACAGTTTTTGTGTGGGTGTATACGTAACATGAGGTGCTGAGTTTGTGTGTTTCATAACCTTGTAGTTTCTGAAAACCAAACTTAGTGTGTTGGAAGTAAATGTTTAGAGTTTTCACACTAAATCCTGTATATTTCAAATCTGACACCAAAATTGTAGCTGTACATGATTCTCATGAATTCTTAGTTAACAGGCTTGTCTCCATCCCTACAATAAAGTAGCTTTCTAGCTTGAGTTCAACTGCGTAGTGTAATTTCAAATTAGCTTTAAAACAGCCTTTATGGGAAATCACACAACTAAGTACAATATTGATTTATTAGAACCCTCAAAGTCATGCTTTGAGGAAGAAGAAGGAGGGAACTGTTTTAGCACAACTTTTGATAATGTAAAGGCAGTGTGCTCCAGTGAAGAAAGCAGGCCTTGTAGCGTTAAGACATATCTAACTGCGTCAGGCAGCTTGTGTGCATGTGAAGCACAAGGGAGCAGACACACAAATGTAAATACCACATCATCAGTTGAATGGCTTTATACATCTGTACCTGACTGAATGTGCCATCGCTGTCTTTCAGAAATATCGACAGTATATGTCTGGACTTCTCACTCCTCCTTATGGTGTTATGGAAACTGGCTCCAACAATGACAGTAAGTATGAGAAAATAGACATCAGATGTTAGAAAAAAGAGAAAAGAAAAGAAAGGGGAAGATGAAAGTCCTCTGGTTTTGGGTGCTGGAATTTAAATGTTAAATTCAATTCAGTATTATGATTATATTAATAATGCAAATAGTAGGAAATACCTTGGAACTTGCCTAACTGCATTCCCAACTGGATACAAGTGTACACAGAGCTGTAAGCAACTCTACACTATGAGCCAGGCCTGTTGACTAAAGCGTGCTGTATGACGTCACGTAACAGTTAATTGGTTTTAGGTGTTACATGAATTCCATGGAACATGGCCGTGAGTCCTGCTAGTAAAATAAATATAACAAACTGGCTTATTTTTTTTAGTTAGTATGGGCTACACAACTTGCTTGGGAACCTAGGATAGTGCTTGGACAGACAGCCTGCAGTAAACATGCTGCTCTCTGACCTTAGTTACACAGCTAAATAAGTTTGGGTATGTCTCTGGCTCATGAGAACCTGTCAAACTGTGGGATAGGGCTGCAGAAATGAATCCAAGGGCAGCCTTTGGAACTTATCACTTCTGTAAATCAAGATACTTTTACTTTGCTGCCAGAGGATTATGTGGATGCCAACCAGGACAATATCTGATTGCTAGCAATTGCATCTGTAAATTTTGTCTCATATGTTATGTGTTCAGTATGTTCTATCTGTGAAATAATAGCATAGCATAGCATAGCAATGCTAGTTAGTGCAAGTTCAATGTCACATTTGACTTCCAGGTACTAAACCACAGACAGTGTTAAATGAAAAAATATAAATAATTCCTGTATACATACTTCAAATATTAAGTTGTGAGAAAGTACTATGTTTAGCAAGCTGTTTGTAGTATTTACACAGGTTAGCTTTTTGTCTTTTTTATGTTCACGAGAGAAAACTTTTGTCTGAATAAATCTGGTTTGCTCTTTAAAAATTCATAGACTAATGTGTATGTTATCAAAGTGTTGAACCTTCCATTTCCCTATTCTATTGATAAATATCTCCACTGTTACTTAAAGAATGTACACTGTATATTTATTTTCTGTATTCTTTTTTTAGGAATGCCAGATAAGGACAGTATGTCAAGCAGCGCTCTTTGCCAAGTTTCTAAAAATTGTAATAAGGTAAATCACACCTAATTTTGCCTTTTTTTTTTTTTTTTTTTGATTGGGGGGGCAATAATGAAAAACGCAAAAGTACAGCATTAAATTGAAAAGAACTAGGTGCAAAGGCAAAGCATGTGGTTGATGCATGCGAGTACAGTATACAAATGACAAAGATGCTTTAGACATTGTATCATACAACTGGAGAAAGCAACTGGTTCAGGATCAGAGTTATTAGAAAGTGTACTGCTGCCGAAGTTTGTGTTACAATCTGGTTGTCCTATCTTTGTTGGAAAGGTGCTGAGGGTAAAGAAGAAAAGCAGCACTGTGACCAGACCAGTGCATAGCCAATGGATCATAAAATTAATAATTAAATCCTATTTTAAGGCTTAACTGGGTCTTAACTGATACGTACGCATTGTTCTGGCCCTTTGCTTGGGGTGAATTTTCTCCTGTGTTCAGAGAGCAGCTTTACATCCCAGTTCCCCTTTGTAAAATCGTTCTGTGCCTTCAGTCTCACCAGATGAGGATCCACATGAAAGAACTCATGAGTATTTCTGTGCTGGGTTTAAAGTAATTATAATAGTGGGAAGAAATAGTATCAGGCATTGCTGTAAAGATTAATAACTTTTAGGGTTTTTTTTATGGCAGGAGTAGAAAAGTTCCAGTAATAAAAAAATACTTGGGTGCCTTCTTTCTGGACATAGCAATTTAATTGGATGCATTTGTGTGATGTCTTTAAAAGATTGAAGGTATTTTTGTTACACAAAAAACATCCCTTGACAGCAGATAAAGACAATGAATATTTTAGTGTGTTTCCTTAATGTGAAAATAACTACTTCCACCTCTCCCTGTCTGTCTGTCCTACTTCCTCAAGGGTGCTGACCTTTCTTACTTGTCACATTCAGCCTTTATTAGATGTATAAATGTAACGGTATGCAGTTCCTTTTTCTAGAGTCTTACTCACTAATGCTATACCACTTCCTGACACAGCCTTATCCTGTAGGAAAATAAACATTTCTCCATGCACTGAGTAATAGTTCTTAGACACTTAGATAGCACCTTTCACTCAGTAAGCATTTTACAAACAGTTACGAGTTAAGTCTCAGTGCTTCTCTAAGATATTGGTATTTCAATGCTATACTTGAAGTTAAGCCAGATCAGGGGTCTTGCTTGACCTCTCAATGAAAGCACCAGGTGTAGAATCCAAACTAAAAGACGTTGTTGTATTTTCTGAAGCAGGTAGAGGTAACAAGGTAAAAACATCTGTCTTTCCTAGAAGGTGATATCCCCCCCATTAATGGGCAGTGATGCGCAGCTACGGGTGGTATACACTTTCAAGTACAAAGTAGTTTAGAAACTGAGCAAAATTTACTGATTTATAACACTGCTGCCAATAGCTGGGTTTTTCTAGCACAACAGGACTCTTCCTGCACAAAGTAATGTTCACCTGGGTAGGAGGCAGAACTTTACTGGGGCAGGCTCAAACTGTTCAATGACTTTTACAGGAATAAGGTCCTTTGCAAACCATATTAATTTCCTTTCCAAGACACGTATATAAAACAGCCATCCTTCTCCCTCCCACACTGTACACATTTCTGTGGAGAGAAGCTGAGAGAGTAAATATGTGACAGATGCTTGTCACCTTGTTTCATCCTGGAGGAGCTCAGACAGTCTCATGGCAAATGTGGCAGAAGAACCTACACAGCATAGAAATGGCTCATGAATCCTAGTTCCGTGGTTTTGCCATATGGCCATGGTTCTCTCTAATTATGTTAATTGAAAGGTAAATGCAGCAGAGATAAATACCTGAGTATTTTGTTTACTGCATGCAAGCTTCATTCCTGCATTTTTAAACTGTACAGCTATTACAGTGCTTACACAACATGTCGATCTTCGTGCCCTGCATTCAGTTTTGAATGATCAGGGAGACACTGGAATTGCACGGCCAAATTCCCAGAATTGTTGCCGGCTATTCAAAGGACAAAATAACAGGGTACCAGAAAACAGCCCTGTGTTTGTAGATTTTATATATTTTGCTTATTTTAGGGTGATATATGGTTGCCAGAATGGCTACTGCATCAGGGAAGGGCATTCATCCAGGGAAAGGGAAGTATTTGCAGGACATCTTTAGGCTACTTTATATCTTTAGATTGCCAGAATGATGGCTGTGGGACTGACAGCAAATATGGCTCGAAGAGGCCTGCAGGCTACTCTGCAATGTCCAGAAAAAGATTAAGTGTTGAACTTTCTGAGATTCAGAGAAAGTTCCTAAAAATCTTTCATGTGGTAAGAAAACATTACACTCTTAGACAGAAGGAGATAGCATCTTCAGTAGTTCTGATCATAATGTTGCATTTATTTTGGAGTGTATGTGTGTATTATTTTAATTTTCCTGGAAAGTTTATAACTATAAATCATTTGCTTCAAATGAAATTTAATATAGTCTACTCTTGAAATATGAAATGCACATTTTTCTCTTTTAGCCTGTGCTGAGTCTTTTACAAGCACTGTAATCGATTATTTTCCATATTTGCTAATTATTTGAGTTCCATATTCATAGCTTAATTTTTTTCTCCTGTCACATCTATTGGATTTTGATGAGTAACGTAAGATTTCTCTCTTAATACATGCCTTGAAATTTTCTCACCATATGGGAATGCTTGGTTTTCCTTGTTCATTAAAATCTATAAAAAAATTCTATTTGGAGAAGGCAACAAAGAGATTTCTTTTTAACCAAACACAAAATCATTTGCATTTAGGGTTACATTATTGCACATCATTTAGTGCAATATAGCAGTTAAATTGAGCATGAAATACTGAGCCAGAGTATACTGCTGTCCTTAGTTGTATTTTGAGGAATGGAAACGAAGTCAATTTAAAGCTGTCTTACATAAGGGAAAAGAACACAGCTTCAGTCTTTTTAACTAGTCAGTCTAATATCTGTACACCAGTCTCTCTAGCTCTAGTTTTTGAAAATTCTCATGGGGTAGAGTTGGACATAGCTGGATCTGTGAGATGAATATAACCCTAAAGCCAAAATGACAAAATCAATAATAATTTCAAATGCATTTTTGGAAAAGATACAGAAGAGTACTTAGAACGCAGGGGAGGTCGAGTTCCAGCATGCAAACAGAATAGGTAGTGGTTCTGTTTCCATATATTACCAGCAGAGCTGGCAGCAGGTGCTTGGTGCTTCCCATGGTGCTTCCCACTACAAGATCCTGCTCTTACAATTTGGCCATTTCTTTACTGTTTACGCTGAATTTGCCATGCTGAGAGTATGCTTCTGGCCGATTTTTAAATTGAAATGGATCAAGCCTCTCTGACATTGAGTTTGGGGGAAAATACATGGCACATATTAAATAGCTTTTCCCAGTGATACACTAGCAATCCTGTCCTTTGGACTAGGAGCTTGGCATTTGGGGCTTGTTCTGGCAAGAAGGAGTGGCATTTGCGACCCCCTACAAAATAAACCATATTGTTAAACCTTGAAAAATCTCAGTTGAAACTGGCTCACTAGAGGCTCATTACAGTTTAACTGCAAGCTTGTGCACGCAGGCTGTGTGCATTGCGTCTGCAGAATTCCCACACTGTTTGTCTTGGTCCTGGGCTGCTTGGACATAACTGTGTCGATGCTTAATGGTGTAGGTTTTCTTGCAGTCACTCATTCTAGTTGCTAGAGCAACATTTTGATTATTATGAAGCCAGACACTAACTGAAAGCCACAGTTGTCTCCCCTGTGCTTTTACATCCTCTACTGGTGCCCAAGTAGGAAATGAGTGAAGAAATAGCCCATTCTGGTCTGGAGACATATGATAGTTTTAAAGAAGAGGGCATTGCCAAAATGGGTTGTAGAGACACAGAAATGAATGTGGGTAAGAACAGAGGACAGACCCATTGAGAGCATGAATCTCCACTCTCCTATGGAGTGTGATGCTTTTTTCTGCTATCAGTAAAGGTCTTAAACTCCTTTGCAAACTGTGGATGCTATGCCTAAGACAGCATAGGAATGATCCACAGAAAGAATAGAAATCTGTGATTAACATTTATTCTATTTATTCAAGTAGCTGATAGTCAAAAAGTCCTAACCCTGCTAATGATCCAAGCTGAAGTTTTATATTATTTTGGATAATGGAATCTCCATGCTGCAGCTTGCTAAAAGAACCCCCAGATCCTATACAAAAGAAATTCCGCTTGAACGGAAGGCTGAAAAATTAAGTGCTCAAAACCAGAGAATTTCAAGACTGAAGGCTGACTGAGCGGTGTTAATGAAGTCCTCGTATCCATGTTTGTTATGGTACGGACTTCAGTTCTTTGTGTTTATTATGGTACAGACTTTGATTACCTGCTTACATATATTTTTCCTGTGACCCACTCAATTAAAACAACATCTCACCTCAAAAACCATGCTGTCTTTCTTTTTGTACAACTTAATCTCTATGACTGTTTCAAACCTACATAATTTGTGCCTTCTTCATTGGCAGTATACCTCCTGAAAGGAGGAAAGTGCTTCTTCATCTCCTTTGTACTGAGGAAACTATACTGAACACAGAAGATATAAGCAGATTAAGTTGTGCAAATTCATACAGTCATTCTTGCTATTGAGTGAAGAGTATCTCTTCTTTCTGAAACCTCTCTCACGCTTTATTTCCACTATGTTCCTATATGGTCTTCAGGTTTCTATTGTGATAAAGAGTTGCAGGAGCTCCCCCTAGTGCACGAAGTAATATTGGAAAAACACGGATCGAGTTGGTGAAGCTTACAGGCAGAAACATGCTCTTTTATGTTTTTCATGTAATGACTCCAAATCCTGTCGATTGGAAGCTTACTGGAAGCGATTTATATGAAGGTATTTTATATAGCAAAGCCCCTATAGGATGTGCTGAAATACTCCTCTGAAAGTCACCTTTTCATCCATCTGCTTCCCTGGTTAATTTGATGTGATAAAATGTAGATTCCATTTCTTTACTGAATTTCCAATAAGGCTTAGGTGCCATGCTGATTTTTGTGTGAGTGATTGTGAAAACACGATTTGTTATTTTATCAACTGTAAATACATTTAATAGAATTATATCAAAAAGATCTTTCAGGTGACAGAGAAGGACATAATCTAAGTGTTAATCCTCAAAATATTGCAATTTTCAACATTTCCAGGCAAATGAATATTCACTTATTTCAATTTTCAATCACTTAAGTATGTCTCTGGGCATTTGAAAGTATACTGTTTGTAAAGATGACATTATAATTCTCTAGGTACAGCCTTGAAGAAGCCACACAAGACACCAGTAATAATCATGTTCATTCACCATATTAGCTACTCTAGCAATAAACACAGTAATTTTACTTCTGATTTCCCTATATTTCAATTTACTTTTCCCAGATGACCAAGAAGAAAGCTTATCTTTTAACATATTCAGTAGATTGTCAAATGTGGATTTTGACAGCACATTAGCAGAATGCTGAGAGAAATGTTTCACATGCTTACGAAATTGTGAGCCTACAAGAAAGAATAAAAAGAGAGAGAGCAGGGAAGCAGACACTGTGCAACAAGGTGCTTGTTTGGAAGTGGTAACCTCTCCAACATTCACATGAAAACTGTGTTATAACAGAACTGATTTTCTATGTGGATGGTTTATAGAACTGTCCAGTGATATGTGTGCATTAATTTCTATCCCTCTTGGGCTCTGTGCCAGAGTCAGTTCTCCTATACAATGTTAGCATAGGGTTAAAAAAAAATCCCTTTCATTTCTGTTTTTGGAGCAGTTGCATAAAAGCACTATGTGTAAATATTTCTAAATAATGCCTTCATGCAGTCCTAACTGTACCAATTACTTTGAGGGGCTGCTCTGATATTTTGGCACCAATTTCACATATACGAAAGTAATTTGCTTAGAGGTCTGTTCAAGTTCTGCATTTT